CACTGTTCTCTTCTCTAGCTGTAGCTAGAATGAAAGCTCTAGAGGGCAGGACTCTGCCAACTGCCGGTTCACCTCCACCCAGCACTGAGCCCCTGGAGCAGTACTGGGTGGGAAAGCAGCAGAGACCAGGCTGGCAATAAGGTCTTGGATGGTCCCCAACACACATCTGTATTGTGGACTTGGATGGTGAGGCTGGGTCTCGCCCCAGCGCAGAACCTGGAGGGCAGGGGAAGCACCTGAATCCTCCAGGTAAACGGTAAGGCTCTGGGCTCTGGGGTTCTACCCACCCACCTTCACATGACTGCAGTGAGCAGCAGTTAAGCCACGGACCCCTATTACTACAGGGTCAACAAAGAAGGGTCAACCTGTGGAACTCGGGAAATCCTCAAAAAAACTGAGAGCTGGCACTGCCCGTCATGCCAGTAACTCAGGAGGCCAAGGCAGGAGGACTGCAAGTTCCAGGACAGCCTGGGCAATTTAGCAAAAATCTATCTCAAAAAATAAAAGTAAAAATTATAAGAGGGCTGGGGACGTAGCTCCATGGTACAGCCCCCCTGGGTTCAATCCCCAGTTCCAAACAAAGAACTATGAGAAAAACCCTGGCTGCCGGGGATGGAGCTCAGTGGTGGCGTGTATGCCTGGTGCACAAGGGCCTAGGCTTGATCCCTGGCATCACCAAAAAGAAAAAGAAAAGCCCCAACACCAAGGGAGTTTTAAGGGAAGTCAGAAAACAGAAAATGGCTTCATTAAGTCATTCAGAGACTAAAAGGGGAGAAGGAAAAGAAACATGAAAAAAGCCAAAAATCTGTCCTTGGTAAGGTTTGTGACCAGTCCCCAATACACATCTGTATCATGAACTTGAAGGACCTTCCAAAAGCAGCACACCCACCTTATGCAGACAGCTCAAGAATGCTCCTATCCAAGCTGGACGCAGTAGCCACGTCTGTAATCCCAGCGGCTCAGGAGGCAGAGGCAGGAGGATCAGGAGTTCAAAGACAGCCTCAGCAACTTAGCGAGGCCCTAAGCAATTTAGCAAGACCCTGTTTCAAAATAAAAAAAAGGGCTGGGGATATGGCTCAGTGGTTAAGTGCCCCTGGGTTTAATCCCCAGTACCAAAAAAAAAAAAAAAAGGAAGAATGCTCCTATCTCAATGCACTTCTACCTCAGCCATTGGAAGCCTGGTCCAGAGAGCCAGTGAGCCAGTGGGGGCAGCAGGGCAGGGCCACCAAGGTTGCTGTGAGAAGGAAGGGACCCTCCTCTCCATCCCAGACCCTGCTCCTCCAGCAGATTAGAGAATTCTTCATAGACAAGGCCACACTCTTTCCCACCAAGGGACCAGAATGTAGGTGATCAGGTCTGTGTGCCCTATGTGGGTCCAGTTCTCCAAAGATCCATGATTTTACAGAACCTGCTCACTGAGCCCAGGGAGAAGCCTGCTGGAAGCCCCCTTCAGATTCCAGAATCAGCCTACAGCCTGACTCTCCACTTCAATCTTGAGGCACGGGGGCCTGGGGTCACAACCAAGACCAGCTGCCATCCCTGCACTCTGAGGGGCCCTCAAAACAGCAGGCTGGAGAGCCCTTGGTTCTAAATATGGCACCTTCCCCTGCATCACAATGTCCCCACATCAGCGTCCCAGGGCTGGGAGCAGTGACTCTGGAGAAAGAAAGCAGCACACTACCTAGAGTGCACTGTCGCTCCAACCCTGACATGATGTGGCAAGACCTACCAATCCCCAAGACTACTAGTTATGGCAAGCACCTGGCACTGTTGTTCCTTGAAGCTGACAGAAAGAAGTCATAAGCTGGGGATGTGGCTCAAGCAGTAGTGTGCTTGCCTGGCATGCGCGGGGCGCTGGGTTTGATCCTCAACACCACATAAAAATAAAAATAAAGATATTGTGTCCACCTAAAACTAAAAAATTAAAAAAGAAAAAAAAGAAGTCACAAGCCCGAATGTCACTCACCACGCAGCAGGATGGAACCCAACAAGGATGAGGACCCAGGCCAAGTGGGCTGCATACCCCCTGCCAACAGGCACCACAAACCATGTTCCAGCCCCCTCCCCACAATCCCCTAGGGAGGACACATCACTCTCCACCCCAGCTCCCACTCAGCCCGGAGCTCGGCAGGACTGACTCTGTGCCCCACTGCCTGTAGTCCAGGCAAATGAACTTAGATCTATCACTCTGTTTCTCTGGTACCCCATGTAGCACATGGGGTAAAAACTTCACTTCTCAGCCAATGGACAGAAAGATTGGTGCCAGACACTTAATGGGGAGTTCATTCTCTCTGCCTCTCCTCCCAGGGCGCAAGCTTTCTAGGAGCAGGGGCGTTACCTTGTACATATCATCAGTCCAGTGCCCAGGACAAGGTAGACATTTGCTAACTGGCTGTCAAGTGAATGAAAGCATGGACTTTACATGGCTACAGCCATTTTTACTACACAGTTCGACTGTTGAAAACTAATAACACTGAAAGCTATTACTGACAATATAACTTTTGTTTTGTTTGTTTTAATAAAAGCCTTACAACAATGATTCCTTTCGATGTCAAGGTCCCTGAATAATCTAATTTACAAGAATCCCACTTGCGGGGCTGGGGATGTGGCTCAAGTGGCAGCATGCTCGCCTGGCATGTGTATGGCCTGGGTTCGATCCTCAGCACCACATACAAAAAACAAAGATGTTGTGTCCGCCAAGGCCTGAAAAATTAAATATCAAAAATTCTCTCACCTCTCTCTTTAAAAAAAAAAGAATCCCACTTGCACACAGACTCTAGGAATGAACCACCAAAGGGAGGCACATCTAGGCCCAGGAAACAGCAAGTCTAACTCTGATATTTGCTGCTGATTCATGAATAAGTGTGATTCCTTGTTTCCTGTCTACACCTGGCCTTCCTTCCAGTATCCATATGAGTTGGCAGGAAGTCCTAGGAGCCAGAGGACACAGCAAGGTTGGTTGGGCGCACAGCAATAAGTCCCCCTACACTCTGCTCCAAAGCACCATGAAGAGCTACTGCACAGCTACAGAGGGAAGAAAATCCTTTGCTCATCTTGTCTGCCCCACAGTAGGCAGCATGTGGCCATCTCTCCCGCATTCCACAGTGTTTAGAGAAACACCTGAGCACCTGTCCCAGCTGCTTCTATTCTTCCAGGACCCACAGAGGAGAATGGTGCTTGAACTGTCACCAGAAGACCTGTGCAGTAACCTCATGCTCTGCATATGGTATTCCTAAGAAAAAGTCTGAGAGCAACAGGAGGCAAAGGTCTGCCTGAGATAGCCTGGAGGACAGAAAGCCTGTGCTCCCTCGACCTATGGGGACAGTAACTGGACACGTGAGAAAGGCAGAGGAAGGGAGGAAAGGAAGCAAGAAGCATGCCTGTGATCCCAGTGGCGTGGGAGGCTAAGGCAGGAGGATCCTGAGTTCAAAGCCAGCCTCAGCAAAAAGTGAGGAGCTAAGCAACTCAGTGAGACCCTGTCTCTAAATAAAATACAAGACAGTGTTAGGGATGTGGCTCAGTGGTCAAGTGCCCTTGAGTTCAATCCCCAGTACCAAAAAACAAACAACAACAACAGCAACAAAAAAAAGCGGGGGTGGTGCTTAAAAACAAAGGCCCTGATGGAGTTACATGAACTGGGTCTGAATCTTGGCTGTGTAAGTTCAGATAACACATTTAACCCCACTGTTCCTCAGTTTCTTCATCTATACAATGGGAACAGTGACACAGACCTTACAGAAAGGCGGTTATGACTGCATATGAAAAGCTTGAGGTACCCCACACAGTATGGGCACACATTCTCTCCCCAGCTTAAAGATCAGGAATGGGATTCTCGACAACTCTGCCAATTATTAAGATAAACAAGAAAAAATGCACTGAAATGCCCTATAGGCTGCAATGTGCAGAAACATACTTAAAGGATCACTGCTGGCCAAGCAGCAGACTCCAAAATGGCTCTTCAATCAGCAGGGGTAGGGTGGGCTCCCTTTCCACATAAGCCCAGAACCACTGCAGCAGTTAAGAGGCTGGCCTGGAGATCCCATGCCTCTGCCCTACCAGAGCTGACATGGGTACCTTCAACCTCCCAGTCTCCAGTGGACAAACAGAAAAATCAACACCCAAAAGAAAGCGATTAAACTAACACTCAGGACATCAGGAGCAGTTTTAAGCCCGGGGCTCAACCTATCTCATCTGCCACCGCCACCGTTCCATACCTCAACCTTCCGCACACTGCCCTGCCCCGGCCCACCGTCAGGGCCTCTGACACCAGGGGCTGCAATGTACTCAGAAGAGATCTGGGTCCAGAGGGAAAAATATCACACAGCTGGTGGGCAGAACCTGGGCTTTGGGAGATGGCGGCCTCCCAGCAATCCAACTGACCTTGGCCTCAAGAGCTCCAGGCGGCAGCTGTCTTTTAGCTGCACCTGTGCTCGCCGGGGCCGGGCTGGGGCTGGGCCAGGGTTAAATGTGATAGCAACGCCTAAGCAACCGGCACCGGGCTCCGCGGGGCTGAGCCGAGCATCTCGCCGACTCCTCGCGTTCTCCTCCGAGTGGGCGCTCGCTGATCTCACGGGAGGAAACCGAGGCTCCGAGAGGAAGGGCTTGCTGAGGCCAGGCTAGGGGGGACCCTGCCCGGGCTCTGGGGCCTTGGCTTCCCTCCTCTACTCCGACCCGTGCCCCGCCCAGGTCCGGCCGGTGGACCGCCCGGGGACACGCACGTGGAGCCGAGGCCAGCATGCGCCGGGTCACGTGACGACCGGGGCCTCAGGGCGCCGAGGCAGTTGGGGGTCCGGGCCTCCCCGCACCCGGCGGCCGCCTCCCCTCCGCCCCGCCTCGCGCTACTCACCCCGGGCGGGGGCTCCCGGGGCTGGGAGAAGGGGACGGGGAAGAGCGGGTGAGGGCGGCGGCGAGGACCCTGGAGCCCGCCGCAGCTCCGCCGGTCCACTAGACGCGACACCTCGCGGCGCGCGCTGCCTTTGTCCGCACACGTCACTTCCGGGCGCCCGGGGGCGGAGCCATGCGCAGCCCCGCCCCGCGACCAGCCTGCCGGGTCCTGCGGGCTGGGACCTAACCTTTTGCCTGCGGGGACGAAATCCCTGCCTTGAGGACTTCAGGCCACAGCGCTGGTCTCCCTCGACCTCCGCACGTGCACCAGTTTAGTCGGAGGCTGCCAGGCTGGACTTTAAAAAACGAGTGACGGGGGTTTTCCACTGGGAGAAAAAGGGGGGAAGGGCCACTGGTGCTCACCCATCTCCATTACCATCTTAAAATAATTTATAAAAAGAAAGAAAAAAAAAAGAAGGAAAAGAAATACACTTGGTTGTGCCAGGGACCTGCCAGCCCAATATACAGAACAATTCATGGACTTTCCATTCCAAAAATGTTGACCTTCCTTAGGACCCTCCATTCACAGAAATTCTGGAGGGATCTTTCCGTGTTGGAAACGTGAACTTGCAGGTAGGTAGACACTGTTAACCTCTCCCAGCGTCAATCTCCTCTTCTGCCAGATGAATGTAATAATTACTAGACTTCCGATGATATTGCACCATGTGGGATATTGCACGTCCAGCCTTCAGGAAATGGTAGCTGTTATAATGACAATATTCATCTTAAGTAAGTTCATTTCCCTCAAAATAACATCTTGATGTTAGATTTACAATGCTTTCCTCTCAGCTGTGCACACAAGAAGTGCTTAAAAAGTGTGTTTGCTTTAATGCAATGAAAAGTGGGGAGTGCTGAAAGTCCCACCTGCCATTAAGTCCCCTAAATCTGCTTATGTACCTGTTTGGGGGGATCCCCTCTATAGTCTAGACCACCCCTGGTTCTCCTGGTCTGGGCCCTTCTCTCAAGCTTCATTTTCCATGTTTCTGGAACAGATCCTAGGCAATTTTGATTGCTGGAGGTGTCTAAAATCCTTTTTTTGGGAGGTAGCTCTAATCCAAGCTCTCACATGCCTCAAAATCCACCCATACTGTATTTCCTGACAATGGAAGAGAATGCCCTTCTCCACACTCAGGCTCCAAGCCATTTCCAGGTATAACCAGCCCCCTGACCTCAACGCTTCTCACATCTCTGAATTTCCAAACCTAGCACATAGTAGTGGCTCAATAGATGTTTGCAGACTGCAAGGGTTAGAGGACACATAGAAACCATCTAGTTAATGTTCTTTGCCCATTTTTTTAATCTCACACCCTTTAAATAAATACAGACATTTCTGTCTCTCTCACTTGATATTCCAGCTTCCAGAGGAAACATGCCTCTCCAAACCTAGCCGAGGAGCTTTACAAACAATGGATTACAGCCTGGGTGCAGTGGCGCACACCTGCAATTCAAGCTGCTGAGGAGGCTGAGGTGGGAGGATTTCAAGTTCAAGGCCAGCCTTGGCAATTCATCAAGACCCTGTCTCAAAGCTGAAAAATAAAAAGGGCTGGGGATATAGTTCAGTGGCACAGTGCCCCTGGATTCAATCTCCAGCACTGCAAAAGAAATAAAGAAAAAAGAAAATGGAGTACATCTTTTCGGATGTCTCCTCCAGGTAGATGTCCTGTAATTTGAATGACAGTCATTTTCAAGTTATAAAATTATAACATGCCTGTAAAATACTTGCCTAAACCATATCTTGTACAATATCATGAATTTCCTCTCTGCCCTCTCCCAGCCAAGAGTCACAGATCGGTCCTGTCGGTTTTCCCATGGAGCCCTGAGAAGGGAGAAACTTGTTCAGCATCACGTATCAAAAAGAATCAGGCATGGACTTGAGATTGGTTCTCTGAGTTTCCAGGCCCCCTTATGTTCTGCCCCATTCCAGGTGGATCTTCCACTTCGGAGCCATCCAGCCAAACATGACCCACTTGGGTTTCCTGGATCTGGAAGGGGTGGGTGACTCTAGACCTTCCCTTCCCTGCTTAGGCCTGGCTGCCCTGACCAGGAGTGCCAAAGCCACCTGTGGCTGCAGCCTGGCACCCAGGGCACAAGGGCCCCGCCCTCTGTCTCCAGGCTTCAGTGCCCACTGTTCCTCAAATAGCTATGGGTGAGGACAGGCGGATCACAATGACTCTGAAGATGCCCAGGAGGTAGCTGGGAGGGGCTGGCAGAAGGACTATGCAGGGGAAGATGGACTCTTCTAAGGACCAGCTTGTTAGAGGGCTCTAACCTCAGGGACTTCGCTGGCCTCACTCAGAATCCCCAGCAGGGTGAGTGTGAGGACACCTAGGAGCCAGCTTGGGGCTGCCAACAATCTGAGAGTGGGGTGTGGTGGAGAGGGAGTAGGCTTGGAGACCCCCAGTATTAGAACCGAGGGGGTGACTGAGGCTCTGCCTCCCTAAGGGAATGGGGTTTGTTATAAATGAGTCTTGGCTTGGGATGTAGTTTGGTGGGAGGCCCCGTTGATGCCCAACGCCCCTGCCCCCCAAATTGTCTTAGCTCCACTCCAGACACAGAATCGGAATCTGGCGTGGGAGATGGGGGGAAGTTCAGTATATTTTCAGCAAGCTCCCACTGCGGAGGGGTGGCGGTGGGGGGTTCTAATGCACCATCGGGATCGGGAGACTGCTGGGGGAGGGGGTCTCTCCTCTTTCCAGGGTGGTTCCAGGTTTCCTAGTTCCCAGTGGAGCGCTTACAATAATAGCCTCCACCATGCTAAGTGCTGTCTACCAGCGCTGGGCCATTTCACAAAGAGACAGGTGCCTGCCCTGAACACACACACACACACACACACACACACACACACACACACACACACCCACCGTTCCACGGAGCAGCACACCGAGAGAGTGCTCAGAGAAATTCATTGGCTCACCCAAGGTGAGGAGTGGAACCAAGACCCCGAGTACTAGTCATTTTGAGCCTAATAAGAATGGCGGCTGCCCTGGTTGAGTATGTAACTGGGCCTGGCACTATTCTAAGCGACGGACATGTACTTGCTCATGTCAACGTCACAGCAACCCAAAAAGGTGGGTACTCTTGCCGTCACCACTTTTCCAGGTGAGGGAACTAGGGGCTGAGCGGGTTCTAGCCTGAGGCCACTCTTTGTCGCCGAGCCGGTGGCATTACCACCAAGCCACACTGCCCCACCGGGGCGCCCGGGGCTGTCCTATGCGCACGCCGCCCACCACTCAGGCTGGCGTGAGGACGTCCTGAGCTGAGCTCAGCGCCCAGCATGTTTCGGCGTCACCCCATCCAGAGGGCCCAGCAGGTGGCGCCCAAGAGGTGTCCCAGCGCTGGCGAATGGCCGAGACCCCAGGTGCTGCCCAAGCTGCCCTCGCTGGAGCGCCGAGCCGGCTACGGCGCGGGGCGCGCGGGGGTCTCGCAGGCCTCCAGGGCCTCCTCCTCGTGGTGGCAGGGGTGGAACACCGAGTCCGGGCCGGGTGCCGGGA